TGACAAAATATATGACAATTCTGCATGAGATATCTAAGCCTTACCCACCCAGACCTTCATTAAAAAAAGATTTCTAAGAATATCCCTGAACTCAATCAGCATTTTAGTGACAAAGAAACGGATGGATTGTTGATGTAACAGAATTGGACTGTTAAGACTGGATAGAATTGAGAAGATCCTTTTTTAGATGGAATCTTGATTCTTGGATCTCCAGTGTGATTTTGATAGTTTGATACATTGAACCAAACCCAAGAAAAATATGAAAGGACATCTAGGTATCAACATTAAATGATGCAGAATTTTAGCTTGCTAGCAATACATATGTCTTAAATCATTCTAAACTGAACATAAGAAAATAATACCATGCATCTGCTGGAAGAAAAACTTAAGGGAGTTTCATTTATGAGAGGTAATAATTCTATTTAACACTATACTAGTGAGATCACAACAAAACATTTTGTATTCAAAGGACTTTGACAAACTAGATGTTATCCAGAGAAAATGGATTATGTATCCACCAGGCAACCTTAAAACTAGTTCACTTACATTCAAAGTACTGAAGAAACTTGCTGATGGCCTAATCTTGCTCTGTGCGAGATAATTTGGATTCACCACAATAAGTGTAGCAAGAGGTTTATACTGAAGAGATTGATTCAGGCAACATGATTTACCTCTGATAACAAGACAAACATAAACCTTTAGTTTTATTAAACATGTTAAGTACAAATAATAATACATGAGTGGGATCTTAGAGTCCTAGTGGCAACAGCCAAAAACAGCCAATGCAATTCTAGGCTGCATTAATAGAGGGTTAGAATCAAGATCATGTGAAGTTCTAGTACTGCTTTACAAAATCTTAGTTGCACTTGCAATACTGTATCCAGTTCTGGTTACCACAGTATAAAAAAGATGTTGAGACTCTGGAAAAAGTGCAGAGAAGAGCAAAAAGAATGATTAGGAGGCTGGAGTCTAAAACATATGAAGAACGGTTACAGGAATTGGATATATCTAATCTAATGAAAAGACTGGGGTGACATGATAGAACTGTTCCAATATTTGAGAGGCTCCTACAAAGATGAGGGGGGGGGTCAAACTAATTTCCAAAACACCCAAAGGTGAGACAAGAAACAATGATTGGAAACTAACCAGGGAGACAAGCAACCTAGAACTAAGGAGAAATTTCCTAAATCAACCAATGGAATCGCCTGACTTCAAAGGTTGTCTGTGCTCCATTTTTGGATGGCTTTCAAAAAGATTCTGGACAACCAGTTATCTGAAATGGTATTGGGTCACCTGCTCAAGCAGGGGGTTGGACTAGAAGACCTCCAAGGTCCCTTCCAACCCTATGTCTATGTCTAATTTGACATATTCTGGAGAGGACAAAGAGGAGTGCTCCCCATCATCATTTGGAAAGAACAAGCAAAATAGGAGAGTCATTAGCCTTTAATATGACCTACTTTAAATAGGAACTATTCCAATGTTGATACAAAGATTCAAAGGAATAAAGAAATAGAGATATGATATCTGCAAAAAGAACTATATTTTAAAAATGCATATAAGTAGTCCTCAACCTACAACCTTTCATTTAATGGCCAAAATTAAGATGGTTCTGAAAAAAGTCTAGTCATCATACTTATTGCAGTCCTTGAACTTACAATGTCTCAGTATCCTCATGGTCATGTGATCAAAATTTGGGACTTGGCAACTGGCGTATATTTACAATGATTACAGCATTCCGGGGATTACAGCATGATAGATCACATGATCACTATTTACAAGCTTCCCAGCTGGCTTCCATCAAGCAAAGTCAATGGGAAAGCCAAATTCATTTAATAGCTACATGATTTGCTTAATAATCACAGCAAAAAAAGGTCATAATCAGTTCTGACTCAATTAATGACCAAATTTCTGGTCCCAATTGTGGTTGTAAGTTGTCAGATGTAATCGTATGATTTTTAAAGTATCTGATTCAATTGGGATTAGTTTTTGAAGCCACCTGGCTCTACTCGGAGCTCATGTTCAAAATAAGATTCATTGACTATCATGAGAAAACCGCAGTGTAGAAAATATTTTAATGTAGAAATTATTTTTAAAATCCCTAAAGTTCTTTTTTTCCCCGCTTGGTTCTCTGAAACTACATTGTTATCTGATCTCCTAAGTCCAGCCTCACAGACAGAGTGGAGCTTTCTCTAAAGCAATACCTCAGATGGCCACTGAAAGTCTTGAAAAACAAGAATAGCCATTCTATCATCCCAGTCCTGGGGTCAGAGCTGGTTCTCTATTCAGTCTGCTGGCAAAATGTTTTAATGTGTAGAACATGTATTTCAGAAAAAGAAGCTCCCCAAAACAGTTTAAGAATACCGTATTTTCCGGCGTATAAGACGACTGGGCGTATAAGACGACTGGGCGTATAAGACGACCCCCAACTTTTCCTGTTAAAATATAGGGTTTGGGCTATACTCGCCATATAAGACTACCCCTCTTCCAATGCACACCAAATAAAAATTAAAAAACATCAACTGGCTTACCTACAATGTAAAAGCAGCTGTGCTAGACCCAAAATGGCCCCTGCAACAAGCAAGAACCTCACACAGCCACAAAAAGCCCCCCAAAAAACTTTCACACTCTACACACACACAACACAACTGGCTCACCCATAATGTAAAAGCAGCTGTGCTAGACCCAAAATGGCCCCTGCAACAAGCAAGAACCTCACACAGCCACAAAAAGTCCAAAAAACCAACTTTCACACTTTACACACACAAAATTCCACATACAGCTTTGGGAGATTTTGTGTGTTTGTGTAGTTAGAGTGAAACACTACAGAAACACACTAAATCTCAGAAAGCTGCACAAATATTATTTTATTTTATTTTATTTTTATTTTTATATGAAAGCTAAATTTAAAACTTCCTAAACTTTAAATGGCTAGGTCTAAAAAAGAACAACTAAAAAAACCCCAATTGGCTATTTTTTTTAAAGCTCCCAAAGGGGGAAAAACTTACCCAATAGAACAGGGGTCTCCAACCTTGGCAACTTTAAGACTTGTAGACTTCAACTCCCAGAATTCCTCAGCCAGCTTTGCTTTGCTGGCTGAGGAATTCTGGGAGTTGAAGTCTACAACTCCCTGCTTGCTTGATTGCAGGCACGGAGTTGCTTGCTGATGGAATAGATTCAGGCAAGCGAAGCAAGGCAAGCATTGCGATTAGCAGCTGAGGTAAGCAAGCTAGAGGGGGAAAACTTTTTTCCTTTTACATGGTTTCTGGCGATCCCAGCTGAGTTGCAGGGAACTCAGCTGGGATTGTCAGAGCTGGGATCACCAGAGCCATTTAAGGCTCGTCAGAGCCTTTCGGGCTGGTCTGCCTGGTTACAGGAGAACGACACTCGGCGTATAAGACGACACCCGACTTTTGAGAAGATTTTCATGTGTTAAAAAGTCGTCTTATACGCCGGAAAATACGGTATAATATTCTTTCTCCCCTCTCCCCCCAAGTTTATTATTCTATGTTAGAATGTGATTTAATTATTAACCATGCAGCAATGCTTTTGGAGAACATGTACTATATTTAGCTCATTGTCCATGATGATGGATAGTATATTTTACAGATGAATGGAGAATGAGTGACTTTTGTAAAGAAAAGTTGATGAAGTGAATATTTCTAGCCACAGAGGGATCCCGATTTCGATCTTCTGCAAATTATTTCGCCGTAACAAATGGCGTTTGATTTTCCTCATGAGATTCTCTATTTAAGGAGTGCAGCCTAGAAAAAGAAAGTTCAGTGTGAATTGTCCACCAAAGCAGAGAAGACCGTTGTCTGTCCTGAAAAGCCATTTAACAGAAGAATCTGTGAACATGGAAAGGTTACAGTGTTTTCTCCATTTTTGTATTTTTTTAAAAAAATATAATTAGTTTTAGAATCAGCACTTGTGGTATCCAAGAAATGATTGTTACAATTTCCTCTGCAAAAAAATGGAGAAATATGGACTGCCTTGCAAATGAATATTTCATTGGCATTCTGTATATCCCAAAGCTATTTTATTTATTCTGGATTAAGAAAGGAAAGACATAGACACAGAAATAATTTTGCATTTTGGCAAGATCTTCATTTAGTGGCTTTGATTGAAGAGCATGCAAAGTGTACAATTTTGGAATAATGTGTACTTTGCTAAATGAATGAATGAAAAAAATCTTTCTTTTCAGACAAATACTTTCTGTTATGATTAGGTGTCTGTCTGTCTGTCTGTCTGTCTACCTACTTACCTACCTACCTACCTACCTACCTACCTACCTACCTACCTACCTATCCACCCATCTTGCCAAAGGCAACTCTAGGCAGCTTGCAGACAATGAATAAAATACAGTGTAAAACATTAAAACAATAAATAAAGATCTTAAATTTAAACATTCAACTAAAGTAAAACTAAGCAGGATGGTGAGAAAAGCAAAGTGCACAGGGAGGAGGTATACATTTTATTTTATTTTATTATTTTATTTGTTTAACAATGATCCCACAAAGAACTATCAGTTTGGGTGTTATTATGGATTTTTACCTTTAGATTAGAAAAACTAAATTTAGTTTTTGAATATCAGACGCAAATGTTCATAAACTCTTCATAAGCACTAACTCCATGTGACTGATAGCCTCCATGGGCAGATGGATTCCTTTTTTTATTTTTATTTATTTTTATTTATTAAATTAATATGCTGCTCATCTTTCTGATAAAGCTTTGTACTAGATGAGAGAGAGAGAGAGAGAGAGAGAGAGAGAGAGAGAGATCCCCCAAGTATTGCTTATTTGGCTTCAAAATCATTTCTTCAGTATTTCCTGAAATGATATGTCTCATTATGGATTTCATTTTAGAATTTTTTAAAGACTGTCCTTTTCAAATAACTACTATTTTTTCTCATTCACATCCATTATTTTTGATATAGACTTAATGCTTTTATCTGATGTTCATCAAAATCTCCCCTATCTCTGTCTGTATCCTTAAATGTGTAGGACAGGAAAGGATCGGAAAAGATTCCCACTATGAACAGGAGGGTAGAGTGCAGTTTGTGATCGATGCTGTTTATGCCATGGCTCATGCCCTGCATCAGATGAACAAGGATCTGTGCAGCGATTATTCTGGGATCTGCCCAGAGATGGAACATGCAGGGGGCAAGAAGCTACTGAGATATATACGCACTGTTAACTTCAATGGTGAGTCTGTGTTCTTATATTGCCCTCTTATTTCACCTTAATAATCCTAAATAACTGGTTAACCAATACTTTATTAACCTAATAATAATGATGGGATGTAGTGCAAAATGTGTTGCTTGCTGAAGAGTTATTTTGTTCAGGTTTACCATGGGAATTTATTTAATATTTTTAAATTATTTTAAATTGATGTTGATTCTGTTTTTAAATAGGCTGTACACCGCCCTGAGTCCTTCGGGAGAAGGGCGGTATAGAAATAAAATTATTATTATTATTATTATTATTATTATTATTATTATTATTATTATTTTGTAACTTTCTGGAATTTATTTTTGTCTAACAACTTTCTTATTATCATATGGCTAATTAAAAATGTAATAGGAGATAGATAGCCAATTTTGTCTAGTGATTAAGGCACCATGCCAGAAACCAGAAGACTATGAGTTCTAGTCCCACCTTAGGTGTGAAAGTGGGCTGGATGACTTTGGACCTGTCAATCTCTCTCAGCCCAATCCACCTCACAGGAGAGTTGTTGTGGGGACATTAGGTTGAAGAAGAGAATAAAGTAAGATGGGATAAAAATTATTTATATTTATTCTATTCTATTCTATTCTATTCTATTCTATTCTATTCTATTCTATTCTATTCTATTCTATTCTATTCTACTCTACTCTACTCTACTCTACTCTACTCTACTCTACTCTACTCTACTCTATTCTCCTGTTCCGTTCTACTCTACTCTACTCCACTCCACTCTCCTCCACCCCACCCAACCCCACCCTACTCCACTCCACTCCATTCTATTCTATACCATTCTTTTATTATTAATTATATTATGCATCCTCAGTTTTAAAACACCAAAAGAAATGGGACTCAACACTATTTTATTAGATTTGTGAATGAATATTATTATGTATTTACAACCTGTTGGTAATGATTGTACTTTCAAAACCATGTTGCTTGTTGTTCGTCTTCACTGTTGTGGTATTTTTATTGTCATAATATATACATTTACAATCCTATATGTATAAAATGGATGCAGTTAGTCTGTTGCAGAGAGTAAGGAAAAGGACTTGCAGGAATAGGCCAGATCCTTTGGAAAAGCAGCAATGGGAAAGATGTGATTTAAGTCCAAAAGAAGAAGAGGGTATACACAAGAGACTCAGACAGACACTACCCTAAATCATATGAGTAGTTACCGAGGATTGAGGGAATAAAGCATTGTGGGAGACTTGCAGGATTCTATTACTATAGCTAATATAAATAATGAATAAATTGTTTAATCTTTTTGTAGAATTGATTTCTTGGTTTTGATAAGAGAAGGTTGGAGGGGAAAAAAGGGTGAACGATCATCACGTTAAGAAAAAAAAGGTTGGAAGACAAGTGATGGGAAATGGCAGGAATAACACCGTTGTGGATTAGCTTGCATGAGTCATTATTTGTACTTGAGATCAAAAAAGGAAAGAAACTGATTGCCAGAAAGGTTCCATTCTTTCTGCCAGCTAAGGCAGAAACAGGCATGGATGTATACATGTAATTATAAAAGAAGGGGAGAGGGAAGAGAAAGAAAAAAATACCAAACATATAGGGTTTATATGCACAGACAAACCTATGTATGTAAAGTTGTACAATAAATATTTCAATAAATGGAGGCTATAATTCATAGTAGTCATTCATAGATAATCTACGTATGCTGATGAATTCTGCAGACCATTGAATAGTTGGAGCCATATATTTCTCTTTCCAATGCTGAACAATACATCAATTAGTTATAAGTAAGGTACAGAAAATCTTCTTTCTTATTCAGAAGTCAATTCCCATGTGATAGGAATACACTTCAAAAGAATACAAACATCTAAAAATACTGAATCTCAAAATTAAGTTAATGTATGCAATAACTTCTTTCCCAAATGGAACAATTATTGGGTGTTATAAAAACATGTATTTAAATGAAGCATTAATTCTACTTCATCCCAGCAATCTCACCATTTATTCTACATAAATTAAATGAAGTCATTTCTGAAAAATTATTTCTTATTGAAAATGATGTAATCTAAAACGTATTAAGGAGCCGTGGTGGCGCAGTGGTTGGAATGCAGTATTGCAAGCTAATCCTGCTGACTGCCAGGAGTTCAATTCTCACCGGCTCAAGGTTGACTCAGCCTTCCATCCTTCCAAGGTTGGTAAAATGAGGACCCCAATTGTTGGGGGCAATATATTGGCTCTGTAAACCTCTTAGAGAGGGCTGTGCAGCAGTATACTGTATATGAATCTATAAATAATTAAACATATGAATAAAATAAAATGGAAATATTTCAGAAGCCAATACAATTATATAAAAAATTCATCTGAGTGCTATTGCTATTGAAGTTTTTGAATTTTTAACATCTTTTTCTATTACTTAAGTAAAATTTACAAACAAAGAAAACAAAGAAAAATAATATATGTCAATATACAAAGGCTTGAAGGTTATAAAATGGAAACAACTATTTAAAAAGTAGAAGAAACAACAATAAATAACAAAACATTATTTTTAAAAAGCATTTTGAGAGCTCCTCCATTCTCCTCCTTCCCTCTCCCCCAATACCTGCTAATTGCTGTTTGAATATTTTTGCACTATACTTTGGAGGTTCTTAACATTTCTGCTTAGAGATGATGATGATGATGATGATTGTGATAATGATTGATGGTGTCTCTGCTATGAAGACACATCCTCAGCAAATTATTAATAGTCATCTTGACTTCAGAGCCGGGAGGTTGTATGGACAAACCTAAGGAAGGAAGTTTTTAATGTCAACATTTGTTAATTATGTAAAAGGGAGGAATTAAGGCCAGAATTGTTGGCTTTTTGAATTTATTTAAGTGTAACATAATTTATTAAATTCTAGAAGTAAATTAAGGTCAAAGAGTGATAGAAGTCACTTTTAGTATAAATTTCAAAAGCTGCATCTGCACCTTCTTTTCCCACAGTTTATACCCAACTCAGGAATATAGCACTCTAGATGATCAGTGGAGGTCAAATAAAATATATTTATTCAACCCAAATTTGTCAAGTAACATTGAGTAGCTGTTGTGATGGACTGCTCCTCTGGCTCCCTTCTGACAGAGGTTTAGTTTAAAGATTTAGTCAAGCTCTAACAATAGAATGGGATGTGTTAGCTTACTACAATAGTTCCTGCTCTCAGCATGAACATCTATCTCCTGTGCAATCTTTCCTTTCTTCCTTTCATATTCTGTTAAAAATGTGTCATTGTTTTAGTTCACCACAATGTCTATATAAATAAGAATTTTATGTTATCTAAACATTGGTCTTCTAATAAATAACATATTATGTCTTCGTTTGCATAGATTTTGCTACAGGATGCACTCATTTATTTATAATGGCAGGTGTCAGTTTTTTCCTTTTATAAAATGACATTACTACTGCCTTTACAAACTTTTATCATCATATATATATATACACACACACACACACACACACACACACACACTGTATATCCTCTTTTCCCCAAAATAAGACATCCCCTAATAATAAGCTGAATTGGGCTTTTGAGCACATGGCAATAAGGTCAAGCGCTTATTTCAGGATTCAAAAAAATATAAGACAGGGTCTTATATGTGTGTGTGTGTGTATTATATATTATATATTATTATATATATATAATATTCTTGGAGAAAGAGTTATCCAGGGAAGAAATGGTGAACTGAAGATGGCTCCTCAAATGTGGAGCTAAATACTATGGTGGAATAATAATTTCCTCTCTAGACAAGAAGAGGATCTGAGATAGTGCATAAGTGCTCCAGACAGCTGCTCCTTGTGAGGTGACTGAAAAGCAATGGTAGATTTAAAGCTCTCAGAAATGAGAAAATAGGAATCTTGCTCAAACTGTGGGTGACACCTCTGAACAGACAATAAGTTTGCATACTTCCTTTCTAATGAATTTCCGAAATTGTTTGTTAAATGTTTTTCATTTATTAGGAACATTTACATTGACAGGTTTCACAGCACCAGGTGAATAATTTGGAATAAACAAAAAAGGGATGATTAAAATTTTGATTTTAAAATGTTACAAATGGACTAAGGCTCCAGATAAATTTGAAATAAGATTTTGGAATTAGTTATAAAGAAGCCTTCCTGTGGAAAATGCTTTTGTTTCTATTTTTTAAAATAAAAACATAAGATAAGACTAAACATAAAACATTGGATACTAAAAGGAGCTAAAAGGAATTAAAATTTTCAGTTAAAGGAGAATACTCAAGCTCAATTTATAATTACAGAATTAAAAAATGTTTTAATATTGGATATATTGAAGAATATTTTTGAAGAATGCACCCAGAAGTTAATTTTAATAGTGTCTGCCTCTATAAACAGACCAATCTTTCGTAAAATCTGAAAGATTTTATGAAAGAGGACCAATATTTGACAAGAATAGGAATGATTTGAAAGTGGATTTAAAAATGATGGACTGCAAGAATGACATGGAAAAAGATGCGACACTGGACATTCAAAAGAAACTGGTTGATTTTATTTATTTATTTATTTATTTATTTATTTATTTATTTATTTATTTATTTTATTTTTTTAGTTTGTCAAGCATGCATGAGAAAATAAGTATAAGTATGAACATAACATATAAACATATAAGTATAAACAGGTATAAGTATATACATATTTAATGAGTACAAATAAGTGGGAACAGTAGGTCAGGGACGGTAGGCACGCTGGTGTGCTTATGCACCTCTAAGGAATGGGGTGACGTCAACAGTAGACAGTCTAAGGTTAAAGTTATGGGAGTTTGATGATGTAACAACAGAGTCAGGTAGTGCATTTCAGGCATTGACCACTCTGTTGCTGAAGTTGTATTTTCTGCAATCGAGTTTGGAGCGGTTTACTTTGAGTTTGTATCTATTGTTTGCCCATGTATTATTGTGGTTGAAGCTGAAGTAGTCATTGACAGGTAGGACGTTGCAGTAGACAATTTTGTGTACTAAACTTAGGTCAGATCATAGGGGGCGTAGTTCTAGGTTGTCCAGGTCCAAAATTTAAAGCCTGGTGGCATAAGGCATTCTATTGCGATCAGAGGAGTGGAGGACTCTTGATACCTTAATAATTTTAAAAAACAACAAACTAAGAAGTTGACTTGGATAATAAGTCTTGTTAAAGTTTTGATGAATATTGTGAGGTGGAACAAATAAAAAAACGAAAGAAATCATGTTCAATGACATTACTTGAAGGATCTAAGGATTAGGATTGTTAGGAGTAAAGGGAGCAACATAGAATTTGATCGAGGCTAAAATAGTTGTTATTATATTGGTTAAGTTTAACCAATTTTTGCTGATTTTTTTTGCTGACATCAGAAGTGAAATAGCTAAGTTTCAAGGATTTGATTATAGATAAGAGTTGAGGTATGGGAGGAGGAGATAATATGTTGTAACTTAAGATAAAGTTGTAACTTACTAAAATTGTTTATACTTGTGATGAATGTGGAATATAATTTCTTTATATATTTCTTTTTCTTTGCGACTGTATCTTCTTATTTTCTTTCTTTCTTTATCATTTTCTTTCTATTCTGCACATTTTTCTTTTTCTTTTTATACTTTTTAAATTTGTACTGCTTTCTATTGTTGTAATTACACTTCTTAATCGAATTATTATATTCCAACAGTATCTATGAATAATTAGCAATGTTTCAGAAACTGTCTGCCAAAATAATAAATTTGTGAGCTTAAAATAAGCCAAGCACATGGATTATTTTCTATGTGGGCATTTTTTCTTCCATAAGTGTGGGGGTTGATAGAATAAGAACAGATTTTGGAAAATTAAGCTATTTCTGGATTCTGGTCAAGATTTGTCACACCAAGGCTATCTTCTGCTGGCTGTATCTCTGTGAAGCAAATATATATATATTTTTGATAGGAAACCCCAAAAATTATGTTCTGAAGTTCTGATTTTTACTTTAAAAAAATCCTTTTCTGTAATAGAAGGGAGAAATGTCACATAACCTGTCCTACATATAACTTAAAACAGAAACAGGACAGTTACTGCTATTTTTTAATTTCTTTATTCAGCAAAAAGCACATGGCTAATGGTTATTAATCAAAAAGGGATATAGAGGAAGAGCATTTTAAAAATGACCATATAATACTGCTGATAGGAATTGCTGGGAAAGTTTAATTTCAGCTTTCAAAAACTTTAAACTGGCACGATTGATCATTTTTCCAGTGTTTGGATTGGTTTATGTTGATATTTCTTTTTACCAGGTTAAAATTATGTCTCCCATTTTTATTATTTTTTTTCTTAAATATGTTCTTTTAATGTCCTTTTTTTCATTATTGCTTCATTTAGTCTTTTATGTTTAATTTCTCTATCTATTGTCAAGAGAATCTTGTTATTGGATAGCTTGAAATTGAAACAAATGAGGAAATTAATTAATGCTTGTCAGTCATGCTCATGCAAATAAAACAAAGCAAGGTTTTGTTTTTTATATAAAAAAAGTTTTGCCTGGTTTCTCTTTTCTTCTGCTTCACATCTTTTCTTAGGTAGTGCTGGCACTCCAGTGATGTTTAATAAGAATGGTGATGCACCAGGACGTTATGACATCTTTCAATATCAAACCACAAATACCTCCACACCAGGCTACCATCTGATAGGCCAATGGACAGATGACCTACAGCTCAATGTATGTCCCCTTTATTTTTTTTTTCATGGATGTTGCAGTAAGAAGTATGCTATTTTTTGCCAAACACATGTTGAGTATGTCTCTATTATTTTATATAAGTTTCTCTTTGGATAATGAGAGGAATCTCACATGAATGAAAGCCTTGTATGTTCCTTGTTCCCATTATATGCTTCGAACTTATGATGATTCTAAATGTCTAAATGTCTTGTGAAGTGCTGCAATTTTGGGATTGGGAAGAATCCAAAATGGTTCCAGCAAGTAGATTTACATAGTATAAGTTTACCAATAGAATTCTTTATAGAATAGAATTTTTTATTGGCTGAGTGTGATTAGACACAAGGAATTTGTCTCTGGTGCATAAGCTCTCAGTGTACATACAACAATAGTGATAGATCATTATCATAGTCATTGTAAAAATACATTCATTATAAAACATTAGATACAACACTGAGTGATAGTCATGGATACCAAATAAGCAGTCAACATAAATCATACTAGGGGACTAAGTAAACAATATAATTGTCTGGATTTTCATTTTTCTATAGAATTAAATCAGAATGTTCCATTCAGTCAAAATGCAGTCTGTACTATAGATTCCATTATATAATTTCCCCCTACAAAGGATTCCCTTGCTGGTAACTCCCAAGTCTGTCTGTGTTGTAGCCCGCCAGCGGCCTGCGCGGATCGTGGCTGATCCCAACAATGAGGAGGCTGGTGTCGTGTCGTGCCAGCAGCCTGCGCAGCTGGCACTCACGTCGGACAGTGAGGAGGCCAAAGAGAATGTGATGCCAGAGGCAGAGACTCAGCCAGGGCCTTCAGAACTTCCAGAGGCTCCTTCCAGTGGAGAGAGCGAAGTGAAGGAGCCTCTCCTCAATGCTTGGGTATGCAGGGCTGCCAAAAGGGAGGAGTGGCTACTCAGGAGGAGGAGGTCTACTTGAGAGTAGGGCTTGAGGATAATTGGCCACTCCCTTAGCCTATTTAAATTGCATGCAGCTAGTGCTTTCTTGCTAGAAACAATGTCTCATTACTACAGAGCATCTTGGAGAGCGAGCGACTTCTCATATCTGGTTTTCTGGGCTGGTTGCCAACCTTTGTCGGACTTTGTTCTTAATAACTTTGATAACGACCCTTTGCCTGGGAAGCCTGCATTCTTGAAAGGGGTTTGTTTGGAATTAAACAGTGTTTGCGAAGTTTGGTGTGTGTCACATTCTCTGGGAATCTGAAGCTGGGGCAGAACAGTCTGTCAGGCTAGTAATATGTAATAGTAATATTACAATGGGTTTATTATTTTTCCAAGTGTGTTTGAAACAATATGGTTGATATCTCATTTTGGAAGGCCCATTAATTGCATGGCATGATAGGAAACTTTGCTTGGGGACACACACATACACACATAAATCTCTTCATGAAATAGACCTAATGCCCAGAGTTGATAGTGAAATTTGGTGGCAACTGCAGTAGCTGAAATATATCTGAAATCTTCTGTTAACATAGACATCTCAATTGCCATAATTTCCTCAATATTATCTTATCCTAGACATAATATGCTAAACGTATGAAAGTAAGTTGAGTCAAGTGAAAAAAGGATTGACTTAGTAAATCATTAGTACTTCAGATCCTACTCATATTTCAAAAAATAGGAAGTATCAAAGAGAAAAAGGATCGCCTAAGACAATCTGATGTTTGCCCAAAAGCCTTGAAAATAAAGATAAATAAAAAGGTGTGTGTGTGTGTGTGTGTGTAAAAGACTATATAACCACATGTTGCTACTATTCCAAAATATGAAGACGTGATATTTTTGTAAGCAGAATCTGCAGAAATATGAACATAGGGAAACCCTATGAAGGCAATAAGACAAACTTTGAAAAAAAAAATCATTGATGTAGGCTGCTCTATAAACCTTTTCATGACTGGCTTGGCACTGAAGTCTGAGCTCCCATGGATTTACATTTGGTTAAATAAAAAATGTGGCTGTATTCTCTGAATATCATAAACGAACAGATGCCTGATTTGATATATATTGGCTGCTATTCAGCTGACAATATGTTGGGATTAAATATTACTCCTTTAGAATGATATGGAGAAAACTTTTTCATGATCTGCCGAAAGAACACGTATCTGCTTTTGAATTTGTGATGATCACTTAACAGCCTTGCCTAGTATCCCATTTATCAGGGTAAGAATACTTCTGTCATTCTCTCTCCCTTCCAAACACTGGATTTCAATGCCTAAAACCTGTCCAGCTGCTCATGCAGGCCATGTCATGCTTTACAAAAATGCCAAATGATCTAAATTGCATTAATTTAAGGGGGAAAGCTTTTTAAAGCAGTAATGTTATTGTCCAAATTTACAGAGATAATTCTGAAAAAAAAAAAGTATTTGGATATGAGTTAAGGTAATTCGGGAGAAAGAAATAATGATGGTGAAATGTAAAAGAAAATCTGCCTTCTGTAATAATTTCTTTGTCTGTGAATGCAGTAAAAAAAAAAAATGTCTTGGCAGAGCTGTGCAGAATTATTCCAGCCAATAAGTTGCTTTAGGTATCAGATTGAAATACAGAGCTGAGCATTATGTTGAGGCCTCCTGCTTCTTGATACCAAAACCCAAAGCCCAATATTTTTTTTTCTTTTTCTGACATATTTGTTACCCCAGCTATAGCAGTAGTTTCCCAGGTAAAGCGAGGATGCAAGGCAGGTAGCTGAAATGGATGAGAGTGTCATTCATGTTCAAAGAAATGGAAACCTTATTGCATTCCCAATATTTTTGAATTTATCATCTTCATAAGGCAATTCTTTCTAATGAAACAGCACAGCTGAAATGTTAAAGCAGCAGTCTATTCTAAAGTATAACAACTACTATAATCTATATATATATAAAAGTGAAAACCACTCACACATTAATCACAAATTCTCCAGAACTGATATTTGCCACATATGTTCCTCTTGGCTTCTAGGTGATCACTAAGAAAGGATTTTTTGAAATGACCATCAGAGCATTAGTATTTCCTATATTATTATAACACACTCTGATGTTAATTAGTTAGATATTCTACTCCCCCTCCCAACTTGAAAATAACTCTGGAGAGAACGGGATAGCATAGGACAGGCTTCTGTGAGGCAAGCCTCATGGAGAGAAGGGGCTAGAAAGCCTGAGGAAGAGAAGGGGATAGGATAGGAGATGTTTCTGTGGGGCCAGCCTGAGGGAGAGTAGGGAAGAGGCTTCTATGGGGCAAGCCTGAGGGAGAGAAGGGGATAGGAGAGGACAGGAGAGGCTTCTGCGGGGCTAGCCTGAGGAACAGAAAGGGAGAGGAGAGGATCTATGGGGTGAGCCTGAGGGAGAGAAGGGGAGAGTAATGAAGCAATGAAGCAACTCTATGTTTTAAAGGTTCTGTTGCATTTATTATAAAATACTAATATGTTGGATAATGCACAGACATTATGTGAGTTTCATGTCAGTCACTGACATGAAAGAGATTTCAATTAGTCTTTATTACTAACTTTTTTATACTGACTTTAAGGGAGTCTCTATATACCTAACTTTGCATTGATTTGCAATCTTGATCAAACAGTAGTTCAGTAAGTGGAAATACCGTCCTTTATTTTCCTACTGCAGACTCTGAACCTTCTTTTTAAAAAAATCCTCTTATAGATATTTCTTGTATGAGAGGATATGTCTTTCCTAACATGAACATACCCTTGGATGCAGTCCATAGGGCATCACTTTCACTCAAATTTTTAAAAGGGCTGTCCTGTTTTTGAAGATTTTTCCTCCTCAAATAATTTAAAGAATTAATTATGAGGATTCAAAATATGTACTAAAGAAACAGCTTCAATACAACAAGCTAAGTGAAAGTAGTTCCTCTTATCATGGCAGCTGCTAAAAACCATCAGCAATTTTTGAGAAACTATATACTACCTTGTAAATTTTGTTACTCAGCTTTATGTTCATTTTAATCTTAAACCCTTGGTTTTTTAAAATCTCTTTTTGAATATTCTTTGTTACGATATAGTCCTATGGCCTAGGGCCAAAACAAATGAAAAACTAACTGAAAAACCATTAATAAAAGCAATATATATATATATATTAGGCATATTTTAATTTTCTCTTCTATATTTATACTCAGTCTAATCTGCTTTTAGCTGATTACACCGATGACATGGTCTCTAACTGTGGATTGTATGGGAATTGATTTTTCTTTTTTTAAAACGAAGGCAAGCTTTTAGTCATGTTCTAACTAGGAATTTTTTTAAAGAATGAAAAAAAGGCAATGTTGATCAAACCTTGGACACATGAATTCATGATTGGCTTAAAGACTGGTTTAAATGCTTTCCATAAAGTATGATAGTGAAATATGAATACCTGAGTACGATCATCTCTCTTATACTGTGACTTGTTATGTGATAATATGAATTGCATAATCCAAATGCATAACCTGGAGGTAATGATGTTATGTTGAAACCCTGTTTAATGACATATCATGGTTTGCTGTTGTTATTTGCTAGCTATTAAAGCCACCACTTTGTCTGAATACTCCTTAGGCTCATATTCGCTGTTGTATATTCCACATACTGCCACAAATTTTCTCTTTAGATAAATTCCACAGCTTCATGGAATTTAATGACTTGAATCTTCCCTCTGTAGTCTAGAATAAATGCTAGTAATTATTGTAGTTAGCTTAGCCTTCAGGAAGAAGAGGAAGCATCTCAGAAGAGAAACAAGGGGGAGGAGAAGGAAGAGAAACTGCTGATTCCTAATATGAAATAATGGAAGAAAAATTATAGCTTGTGCTACAGTTAGAAGTTGCATTAGAAGTATGTTTTATGAAAATAAATACATATTCAGAAGTCACATTGCAATGCTATTCCAAAATATAAAAAATGTTCATATTTAGCTTCCCCTTTGCAATAATGCTAATAATGTAATTAACTTTTCACTGTTTACTGCAATTGAATTTATTGCAACAACATGAACACTGATAGGCCCTTTTTCCAGAGCATTTC